AGACTTCGATCATCAAACAAAAGAAAAAAACAGCAGAGATATAAAGTACAGCAGGAAAGAAGAGGGAGATCCCAAAGTCAAGCACCTTATAAAGAGGAATGGGAGGAGCTTTAAACGATGCCGACGCAATTTTAGAAAATATCTATTACGATGTAGAAAACCCCGCTTCGTATGGCGGAGTGGTAAGATTGGCTCGTGCCGCACAACTTCCGTTGAAAACGACGCGTCGATGGTTAATGAAACAGGATGCTTATACGTTACATAAACCAGTTCGCTTTAATTTCAAACGACGGAAGGTGTTGTCTTTCGGCATTGGAGAATTAATGCAATGCGATTTGATTGATTTGTCTAAGCTCTCTAAATATAACGATGGTGTAAAATATTTATTAACAGCAATTGATGTGTTTTCTAAACGCGGGTATGCCATTCCTTTAAAATCGAAGAGTGCAGATTCTGTACTCGAAGGATTTAAGAAGCTATTTAAGGAGACAAATTTTGTGGTGAATTTACAAACAGATGAGGGAAAAGAATTTTTTAATAAAAAAGTTCGTGACTATTTTAGAAGACATGGAATACATCATTATGCCTCTAACAGCGAATACAAGGCGAGTGTTGTAGAGCGATTTAATCGAACGCTAAAATCTAAACTCTATCGAATATTTACTTACACCAATTCCTACAGGTATGTGCATGTCTTGAAATCAGTTTTGAAAAGCTATAATTTGAGTATTCATCGTAGTACTGGTTATGCACCTGCCGACGTGAAGCCGGAACTAGAAAGTGAAATTTTTGAAAAACTGTATGGCTATAGCATAAAACCGAGATACAAATTTGAGGTAAATGACCAGGTGAGGATTTCTAAAACAAGGCGAGCATTTCGCAAAGGTTATTTGCCCAGTTGGACGGATGAGGTTTTTGTCATATATAAGAGATATCCTTCGAGTCCTCCGACATATCTGCTTAAAGATTTAAAAGGAACAGTTCTGAAAGGAAGGTTTTACGAACAAGAGTTACAAAAAGTATTAAAGAGTTCTCACGATTTCTGGAGAGTGGAAAAAATTCTGCAAACGAGAGGTGTCGGTGCTAAGAAAGAATATTTCGTCAAGTGGAAAGGCTTTGATCGACGGTTTAATTCGTGGGTGAAAGCGTCATGGATGAAATGACAGACGACGAATTCTACGTTACTCTACCCAGCAATGCGAGCATGCAGTATTCGAAACTAGAAATTATGAAATAATAGAACTATGTAATGAAAAAGCATTGTAGCGGGAAAAAAAATTTTTATCCTTTAAACGGGAGGGAAAAAAACATGAATTTCGTAGTTCCTGAATCTAGTTACAGCACGATAAGGAAAACACTATATAAAATTGAAGATTTTTCAAGCAGATTTCCTCTCAACTTTCTTAAAACATTTCCTTAGAGAAATGCACTTAAAATCAGAAAAAAGAGTTTTGCGAATCCTATTATTGTGCTCAAGTTGGTGGCGGCGGTGGTGTTTACTTTCAAGGTATACCTCACCAACGAGGTTATGGGTTTTTTGGAGATTTGCGCCGATACATTACGCCGTTGGCACTTAGAGCCGGTCGTTATTTGGGCAAACAGTTGATGCAAACAGGAAAGAACGTCTTGTCAGATGTTGCAGCGGGATCGTCATTTAAGGACTCTGCTCGGAGCAGGTTACGTGAGACCTCTAATAAAATAAAAAGTGATATTTTTGAAAAATTACAGAGGGGAGAAGGTATAAAAAGAAAGCGCAAGAGGAAAAATCGTCAATCAAAGAGCAAGCGTTGTAAGACAAAAGCAGATATTTTTACATAAAGATTAATAGTAATGGAAACTCAGGGGGTTATATGCCTTAAGAGCGAATTGGATCTCTTTAATGGTGTCGCCGTACAACTGGGCATCGATTCCTCTTCCTTCGTGGAAATCCACCCCGTATCTTCATTGTCTGATAAGACGCCCATAGAATTTTACATTAGCGGTAATGGTGAACACTATTTGGATTTGGCGCATACGATACTACACACACGACTTAAAATAACGAAAAAAAACGATACCAATCTCACCGACGCCGACGGGGTGGCACCTGTTAATTATATTTTAAACACATTGTTTTCCGACTGTTCAATATTTTTAAATGATAAACAGGTTTCGTCACAAGTGAATTATTCTTATAGAGCCCTTTTGGAAAGTTTGTTGTTCTATTCCAAATCAGGTCAAGATAATCTACTGAGTGCTGGCTTATTTGCAAAAGATACTGCATCTAAGCATGATGTTGTGGGAGACGAAAACGAAGGTTATACAACGCGTGCAAATCGTTGCAAGCTTAGCCAAAGCCTCGACCTCGTGGGACCATTGCACTTCGATTTGGCCACTCAACCGAAATTGTTAGTCAACGGGGTTAATGTACGCATTAAACTGGAAAGGCATAAAGATGTTTTCACTTTGATGTCGGCAAACGACAATTATAAAATTAGAATTCAGCTAGCAAAACTATACGTGAGAAAAGTCAGCGTGGCTCCCTCCATCCTAATAGCACACGAAAAGGCTTTAGAAAAAGGAGTTATTAAGATGCCCATTCGTAGGATTGACATAAAAAGTTTTGCAATATCGAGCGGTTTGCAATCGACAACTATAGCAAACGCTTTTATTGGTCAGCTACCCACACGTCTCATTCTAGGTTTTGTATCTAATGCCGCCTATAATGGAAGCATCAACAGAAATCCTTTTAAATTTCATCACTATAACCTAAACTACCTATGCATATTAAATGGGGGACAGATGATACCTTCCAAACCCTATCAGCCCAATTTCGAAAAAAACATTTTATGGGCGAAGTTATTTAAGCATCTTTACAGATTTAAATCGATATCATTCAAGCCCCAACATTAATATCTCCTTTGATGAATACAAAGATGGGTATACATTATATGCCGTTGATTTGACTCCAGATATGGCATCTAATGAAAGCCACGTAAGCATAAATAAGAGCGGAAACATAGCCATTGATATCAAATTTGCAGCGGCCTTGCCAGAAACAGTTACCCTGATAGTCTATGCTGAATACAGGAACATAATTGAAATAGACAAGTCACGCGGAGTCACGACAGATTATTAAAAATCATGGACGAAGTTTTGCAAATATACGGAAATGAAATTATCGAACTAGCTAAGGAGGCGGGTGCAGGCGAGGAGGTAATTCGAAGTATAGGCGATATGATGTTTTCCAATAAAATAGCGAACCTGCGCATTGCATTCTTTCTCGCTTTTGCCGAAAAAATTATTGAAATTTTCCCATCAAAGAAACATCAAGTGTACGAAGAAGTGTTTAAAAGCATATACAGAAATATTCATTTCGAACAAAGGCGGTAATGGATACTTTAACTCTGTGTCAATATGCCTGTGGCGACAGTCGAATCAAAAAAAACATTTGGAGGTGTATATCCTTCCGATTTCATACCCTTACGAAAGAGACATTACTCCTCATTTATAGTGAATTCGGATCCGCATACTTTACCTGGGAGCCACTGGATTTCGATATATTTTAAGAAAAACAGCACGGCATATTACTTCGACAGTTATGGTCTTGCTCCATCTAACAAAAATATTTTAAACTTTTTAATGACCAACGCTAACAAAACATTTTATAATAAAATATGCTTTCAAGATGATACCAGTACATCCTGCGGAAAATTTGCTCTTTATTTTATATTTTGTATGGTAAGAGGGTACTCTTTGAAGGACCTCAGCACGAAAGATAAGAAAAAAAAAATGAAATTTTTATTAGGGAATTTTAAAAAAAAAAAAAAATTCAAACGTCGCCGCTGTTGTCATGCTTTTCATGCCAAGAAACAAAATTGTGTGTCTTTGATAAATATGCGTGTTATTCCTGCAAAACATCACTAACGCTTCAGAAGTCGACGATGGAACGTTACGGCTATTTGCACACTGGAAACTCCGAAAACAGTCCTGTTGAAGAAGTACACGTTGAAAAAATTAATCATTTTTTCTTTAAAAACCTAAGCGACTGCATTCGTAATGCTCTTTACGATGAAAACACTAGCGGGAAAGGAAATCGTCATTACCTGAAAATTTTGAAGAATGCCGAAGTGGTCAAGCATATTCATAAAGCTGACCATCAACCACAACAACAATATGGATATTGCTACTTATACATTCAAAATGAACAAATAGCTCTTTTTTCGGCATGTAGTAAATTATATAATAGCATGTTGGATTGTGTTTCTTCGAAAAAAACTGAATATGAAAAAGTGAATGTATAAGAGATGAAAGCTATGTAATTAAAATTGCTTACTTTGTTATTCTGAATGATGATGCTATTGTGCGAGAATTACATCGCACTTGTGTGTAACACAAACAATTTGATCAATAAAAAGGATTTTTTTTCTTTCAAATGCAATTTTTTTTTTGTCTCTGAAAAAAAAAATATCAGATATATAGATAAATAATACATTTTTACACTTATTTATGAGCTGCCTTTTTCTATTCCACTGTTTTGTTTTCCGGTAAAAGCATCTGCCTTGAAGAAATTAATAAAATGTAAATTCCTCCAAGAAGATACTAAAACCGGACCTCTTGGATAAGGTCCATTTTTTTATTTTTTTTCTAAAGGATTACAGAAGCTTAATACAAAATAATCATTCTTGTATGCATGATACAATGAAAAAATCAAATGAAACAAAAAACATATTACTGTTGTAAAATATATAAAGGTATCAAAAATTAAAATGAACATTTAAAAAAAATCAAAACGATTTTTCGATGTAAATCCAATATGGGAACTAACCCATTATTTTCATTACACCATGTGAGATGTTATATTGATAATACAATAAGTAATCAAATGAAACAAAAAGTACATTTCACATTATTACAAACATAAATGGAATCATTAAATATCTACAAAAATTTCAGGAGGGGGTGTTTATAAAATAAAAATGATTAATCAGAATATTGCCATAATGTATCAGTATTTTTGTTTCATATTCGACAGTTAAAAGAAAAGTTTTCTACATAACCTCCATAGCAATTATTATAACAGTGATCATGGTTAATTCGGGGACATTCGTGTATCAAGTTTCCAAAAGAAATGCAACATGAATTCTCGTCGCAAATGAAATACAGAGGACTTTGCTTACATATCTCACACCAGTTATCTTCATTTCGCATATAAGAAAGGGTATCCCTTTCATTATAACATAAGAAATGATTGAATTTTCTGAAAATTTTACATTTCGTTCTGGTAGTGTCTGTTTGACATCGTAACCACAATTCTAAACATTTGTTGTTGCAGCTTTTCAAATAAATATTAGACTCATTATTTTGAACAATTACATGTTTTACAAATGTGATATGTGCAATCTTTAGGTGTAAAAGAAATATAACATCATCATCAAAGAAAAACCAGGCAATAAATTGTTTAGAAAACCACTTATTAAATCGAATTCTTTCATAGAGAGTTAAACTTTCATCCCAAAATACATCTCTGTTCTCTAAGGAGAAACTACTTTCAAAATCAATCCAGAATCGACCTTTCTCTATTATATCTCTTAAAATCATACGAGGAATATTCAGTTCTACATTATACAGTTCAGCTATACATAATATCGAAGATAAAATAGTTTGAATACACATATCTTGCAAAGAAATTGGTTGAAATAAAGCCATATCTTCTGGGTATTCTATGGGAGGGAAACACATTTTTGTTTTTTGTCGATCATTAGCATAAAAAAAATATAAGTTGCAAAAATACAATGTCACACTCTACAATAAAATGTTACAAAAAAGTTCCATCATTTTTTTTTTAATTCATGTCTTCTTCACGCGTGTTATAGTGACCATAAGACAATGATTGAATTCCATCATCTAACAAATATTTTTTGTCATAATATCCCGAGAGGCTAGCTTTATTTTGAAAAATCGTTTGCAGTTCGTGCTTTTTTGAAATGATTGAATATTGAGAATTCCTAATCAGGGAAGCATTTTCGAAAACGTTTTTATACGTTTCAAATCCAATGTTTTTGAGCGCGCTCCTTTTGATTCCTTTCGCGGTCTTTTTAACAGTATCACCGAAACGAAATGCGTACATTTTGCATTTCAAACCCACAAATTCCGATATGGGGGTGAGTGTCTCACTTTTTAGAAATCCCAGTTTTCCACGGTTCTCTTTCATTAAACATTATATGATTGGGTTCGAAATTACTGCAATCCAAAATATTTAAAAAATTCGTTTTTAAATCACTATATACATCTTCAGTTGTTATATAGAGATACAAAGAATCTGTATCTGTGTATAACAACTCGCATTTTTCTTTGTAAAAGTGTTTAAAATGGGAATAGAATAATTTATACATGTGCAACTTCGCTAATTCTAAAACGCTGAAACCTATATAAATCGGTTTATCTAGACACAAATTTGGATTTTTCATTTTGAAAACTGAAAAATTTTCATTAATTATTTCAAAATATTCCAGCAGAGGACTGTTTAATTTTTTTTGGCATTGTTCCTCACTAAAAACGCCCTGTACGCGAATACGTTTCCTAACATTTTGACAGGTTTTTCCATAGAAAGCGTTATTCATCTTTTTAAAGAAAGATTTTTCAAATTCGCTAGACGCATTTTGTCTTTTCATATTATTGAAAGCAATGTATTCTTTAAGCCACGCTCGTTGTTTGAAAGCTAAAATTCTATGAATTTTCTTAATTATTAAACCCTGTTCTACGTAAAACTTTAGATTTAAATAATGAGCGATGTAATTTTTTTTTTTTCAAAAAAATTGGGTAATAATTTTTTGCATGGAAGTGTCGTCTCTAACTGAAATTTTTTGCTCAGGGTTTTGGCATAAGGCGATAGCATGTCAAAAGTGAGTTCAAAATGTTCCGGTGCTAGCGGTAAATCATTGTGTTGGTCATGCAGATGGGAGGGATATAACAGATCGGATTCGATAATATACCCCACATCACCGTCTTCAACACAAGACAAAATATCAAACGCCTCCACCTCATTTTCCTTTAACCAGTAAAAACCTCCCAATGGCAGGTGCTGGCTCATTACACACCCGTATAGATTATTTGCGTCTAAGGCTAAGATATAGGTGTGTGGTAAATCGGGTTTATAACTCTCGGGGATATAAGGATTATTTGCAAGAGCATAACGTCTACCCAGAAAACAAATACCTCCTCGCATTTGGTTTTCAAACCAAATGTATTGATTCACATCTCCTAGAAGCTCTAATTCAATTTTAGACGCTTTCAGTCCGGCATTCCACGTTAATTCGGCAGCCGTTATAAAATGTACAGGATCCAACTGGTAATATTTTAGAGCGGTGCGTCTGAAGGATAAAAATACTTCGGCTAGCAAAATAACATCTGTATTTTGATATAACTCTAAGTAATCGGCAAAAGTGTTACATCCAAACGAATGAAACACGTGTGTGGCATGTACATAATCTTCGTCGGAAACTGCTTCTCCTTGTAATACATTATTAAACGCGCTCTGCGGTGGAAGCGAAATTTCATCCAACACCGATGTTGACGCAAAATATGAGTAAGGAAATACGCCTTTCCGCAATAACAATTCTCGTTGGGGATTTTTCTCAAAAAATGCATTAAACAATTTAAATTCATTCGTGTTGTGACGTTTTCAAATTCGACACCAAAGTGTCCAAAGACGCATCTAAAAATTGAAACGAATCAATAAATTTCATTTCATCTAGTGTAAACATGGTGAATTTTTCCAAATTCACCGGAATAATGTTAACTTTATTTGCATACATTTTCGGCATGTGTTTTAGTAACAGGTGACTATCATAATTCCTGAAATTATGAATTACCACCGGAATGTAGTTTGACACTTTAAAATTCAAATTACAGGAGCGATGTGCAAGACCTCTCACATGCCCATCACTCCAGTGGCAGTGATCTCTGACCCGAACATCGCCTTCTAAGAAAGGATTCAAACATATATGACATATATTTGAATCGTAACTTTTTTCCGACGTCTCCTGCATCGGTAAACACTCTTTCATCTTTTGCAAAATTTTAGATTTGATTTCGCTCAACGTTGTGAAAAAATGTTCCATTACATTCTCTCCGCAAAAATATTCATGAAAAATAATCTTGTCTTCCACGTCAGTAACTATTAGGGTATAACTAATAGGAATATGCTGTTCAATTGGGGTAGTATGACTCTGTTGCGGAGAAGGAAACGCAGTTTGAATCTTGCGCGTGAGGCATTCAAAATCGGTAAAGACACAAAAAGGATGATAATGCATTTTCATTAAATTTGTAAATTTAAGAAGTGTGTTTTTAGGAATGCTAACTTTCTGCGGTTTGTTTTCATTGCAAAGAGTTTTGTGATACTCTAACGTTTCCCTTCTCTGAAACCCACTTAAACAAGTTTTACAAAAAAAATTTACTCGTTTTTCGTTTGCGTGTAATAGACGATTAAAATTTCGAATACAAAAGAAATGTTTTTGAAAATATAGCAAATCTACTGTTTTTGTCGCATTTCGCTTTTCACTTAATTGCAAAGGTAATATTTCATTTTCCTCATATCCATACACGTTTATGGATACATCGTTCAGGTTTTCAAACATTTTTACATCGCCTAACGCTAAGGGAAATTTGAGGGATCCTAATTTAAAACGTGATATATCCTTTTTATACAAGTAAGCCTTCTGAGGATTTCTAGTGGATTTCGGAAAAACACTTGCGGCAACAGAATATAAAAAACAATTGTCGTCACCACATTTGATATTTAACAACGCTTTTCTATTTTTTAATCCCGTCGGTAAAGCGATGTTTTTACAACCACCGCGATTTTCCCGATAGTTTCCAACGTGTAAGTCAAGGTACTCTAACTTTTTTATTTTCCACCCGCTTCCATTACGCACAAAATTATCTATCAAATTTAAAATCTTTTTAAAGCATCTGTCAATGCTTTCGTAGATTTGGTTAGAGGATAAAATCCTTTCGCAATGAGAACAAAAATAAAAACACTGATTAATTTCTTTTTCATCTTTCCCCAGTTTCTCAAAACATATTTTCAAACATATTAAAATCCTGAGTCTTAAACTCGATCTAGTATTTAAAATGTTGTATATGGCAGGGCGTGCCGTTCTGAATATCTCATACGGATCTTTCTGAGAAGCATCGAATGTTGTTCTTAAAGTGCGCAAATAGCCTCGGTGGGCTTGCGCTAACTAACTGAATAAAATTCATCATTTGAAAAAAAATAATAAATAAATAATGGAACTTTTTTGTTTACAATATTATATAAAATTCATATTAATTTACTAACTTCCACTACCGCTTTCCAGCAAAATCAGCATTTTGATATCTTTTTTTTTTTTTTAATTTTACATACAGTGGCTCTTAATCACCCCCAAAGCTTCGATTATACGATCAATACAATTCATATTTATATTAAATCTTTTGGGGGTGGCGGCGGTTTCGGGATACACCCTTACAAATGAAACATAATTGACATTTTTGAAGTCACAAGTTTCTATTGAAACATTTTTTCCAATGTATATTTTAATTTTTTTGAGTTTTTTGCGGGAGGTTTCGCCTTCCTCGGGAGCAAGGTTTAAAATAAGATCTTCCGACGGCTGCACATCCCCCAACGTGTCAACACATCTACGTTTGCGTTCTAAAATAAACTAATTTTAATTATAATTTTATGCTTAACATTTATCGCAGAAAGTATTTAACAATAAAAGAACAATAACACACACAAAAAAAAAAAAAAAAAACCTTACGTTTCACTCACCATTACGAGCTTCCATTGTAATCCTTATGGAGGATGATAGCACCAACCTCACCGCTTCGAAATGTAATGATCAAGTGAAAGTTTCACAAGTCTCGCCTTGTGCGCTTACAGGATGTTTACGCTTTCAAAACACGTATTTCATCAAATACTACTTTCACCTCCCCCTCAAAATCTTAACCTTGATCTAACCTTTCTCAAGGAAAAGCGACCATCTCGTTCCTAATTTAGCAATGCAGAATATTATCCCAGCCCACTCAACTGAAACCAACCCTTTCAAATGCGCATATTACATTCGACTCGTGAATTTTAATTAAATCATTTCCCCCCCCTTTTTTTTTTTTTACAAGCCTCTCATCCTTCATTTAACGCGCTATTTTAGAAAAACATAGTATATGACAAACAGTCTCGCCTACATTACCGCCTACTACTACATCCAAGTACTTTTGAAGGACGACGGCACTTCCGGGGTGCAGGGATACTCAAATCAAACACTATATACCCCGATTTTAGTTTTGATTGATCTAATTTCTTTTTTTTAAAAGAACAGATAATAAATTAAAAACCGTTTTTGTATTTCTCTGTAGTTTGTCGCGGTTTGTGTCTTAATTAAACCTATAGTGGTCAAATGTGGTGAACGGGTCGGTCAACTACTATACTTCTTCTCCCAATCCAACTCTTTTGAAACAATCTGTAAAGACAAGCTGTAGCACGTCTTACACTATGTGTTGGACAACTACCATTGTGATACCGCAGGTTCATCCAAGTTTGCAGTTTCGAGATCTAACATTTGTGAAAGTTTGTCTTCCGAATGGTTAACATTTTTAAAGTAATCCAGTGTTCTGTGTATGATTAAAGTGTCTAAAAGATGTTGTTAATTATTGCACACTATACATTTACGGTCCATGGTACTGATGTTCCACTTGACGAAGCCTATGGGGATTATTTACTGATCAATAGTTCAAGTTGACTATTCACGTGGGCCATGATTTGCAAAATTTGCTTCATTACTAAACAAGATGCGTAGAAAAATCTGGTGTATCATATCTTGATGCTTAAGTAGAAAAGTTCACACGATTTTCTCACCTCCATGTAACTCTTGATGGAGAGCAATATGAAACGGATGGAACTTATGACAATGGAAGAATGTGTAACAAACACATTTGATTGACTGATGCTACTGCTACTACTTGGGATGTCTTGGAGAATTTGCGGACCTACAGTAACAGCAACTAGAAGATTGTTACCGTTTTTTCCAGTCACTCGTTTGTTTCTGTTACGCTCTGTAGGTGTTACATTTTCAGTTTCGCGTAATTTGTAAAAAGTTAAAAAATAATTATCGTGTTGGTGTACGTCCATTGCGGTATCTTGCGGCATACACATTAGATGAATAAATTCTTCCTGCATATCCCATACATCATGAGTATGTTAGCTTTTCAGCACTAGTAAATAATACTTTTCAGCACGTCTCTTCTATCTATCACAAAGTACTGAGAAGAAAGTCTCATGTAAGCAGTGTAAAAGAAAGAAAATGTGCACCAAATGCGAATATCGTAGCTAGTAACTACGCCGTTAAATGGAGCATATAACTGTGGGTATTTTCAATTTTGATACTACGATAGCTCGTAAACTACTTGCACTAGACTTGCACTAGAATCCTGCAAAAAACCTGATTGACACTATAAACTCCTCTAGTTTTATTTTATTGATCTCAATCGGAATTGTTTTATTTGAAAAAATGTATTTTTGTAAACTTAACTAATAATCATTAAAATGGTAGTTTGAATTTAGTGTGAGGTCAAATTATGAGCCAATTCCATTCTGTGAAATTAGCATATCAATAGCACCTTTTGTTTCAGAAATAATTGTGGTGCAAGTTTTAGGTGATTCGCTGTATATAATTAAAGAAAGGAGAACAAATATGTATATATTTTAACCATCAAATAGTTGCGCGCTTCCATCTATTACACAACAGATTCAAGCTATCTTCTATCATTGCCACTCCAATCAAGACTGCGACACAACTGGTTTTTCATCGTACCATCCAAAAATATCACATATATAAAGTGTCGGACCAAATCCTCACCTGTGCTTTTCACAGAATTGTCACTGAAAAATGATCTCTGAGTAATTAGTGATTTGACATTATACGAAATCCAGTATTAGCGTCGAATTCAAAGTTTTTGAAAGAGTAAACGAGTAAAAGAAAAAATGATACATAGAAAATAGCTGGGGTATTTATACTCAGAATTTCTTTGTTTGAGTTTCAAATGACAATTGGATAAAACCTCACAGCAATGCGGAATACTGCAGGGAAAAAGTAACGTCAGTGCAGAAGCAAAGGGGTTGTCTTTTAATTCAAATTAGAAATTAAAAAGTCACTGCAAATTAAGTGTATTTCATATTTTACATATTTACGTATCCTCTTTTCTCCTCGTTACAGAAGCATATAATTAACTGCTTGGCAGCTTCACCTGTCGTAACAATTTAATTTGCGTATTTAAAATTATAGGATGCCGACTGCACACATTGTGCTACATGATGTTTACAGAATGTGCTTCCAATGAATTTTTTTATATCCTGAAAATAAAATGATGGCTAACAATAAAGCTAGCTGCGCTCTTCCATTTACTACAAAGCAAATTCAAGCAATCTATTACCGCCACTCCAACCATGAATGCGACGTAGTTGGTTTTTTCATCGTGCCATCTAAAATATTATCACATATATCTATATCTATATTATATATAAATCGGTTATTGCTGGAAACACTTTTCTATTTACAATGGATAAAATACTTTCCATTACATAATAATAAGTTACTAAAGAACTGTAATATTTTTAATTTTTAATTTTAATCTCCAATTTTATCTGTATTATGTAATATAATATCCTTCAAATGAAACTTTGTTAGTTATCCTTCACAATAACGGTCCCGAGACTGAAGGTTAATCGAGGCTCCAGTGTATATAGCATTTCAACAGAATTTGTTTAAAATTTTAAATAATGAAATTATCATGAGACCATCTGAATTGACATCGCCCAAACAATATAAAACGTAATGTGTAGTCAATCATAATACGATTAAAATTATAAATTAACCAATATTCTTCCCTCTGCTCAATTGCTGTGAGCTCTATGATGCCTTATTGAACTTTCTTTTTTTTCATTTGTAATATATATAATTAATTCCCTAGATTGCCTCACATTCAGTTGCAAATTTTCATTTTGAAATCATTGCGCTATATAGAGTAGGCAGCGAATACTCATTTTCTACATGCATGGGGGTTGTTAGGCTTAGAATTTCTGCGTAGTTTCAGAAAGAACCGCACGGTGAACATTCAGGTATTTTCATTTTAACCAATTCTTATCATCATAAGGTCAGGTGTTCCACTGTACGCCAGTATGAAAGGGCGAGCACACTGCACAAAGAGGACTACTGCCAGAGGAAAAATCTACGCTATCGTGCGGAAACTTTATTTTATACTCTCAGAAAACTCAGGACTCAGCATGAACAGAAAAAAGCGTATTTATACCACCATGAATCTTTTCATATGCCTCGCCTGTCTGGGCAAATGCAAAACGCAACGAAATTAAAAAACTGCAGCCATCCAAAATAAATATTTACGACTAATTACTGGAGCACCTTACTTCATCAGGAACAAAAATCTTCATGGAGATCTGAACATCGACTACGTTAAGACCCACCTCAACAAACTGAACGAAAGTTTCTATCAAAAAGCCATCCATAATCACTTTGCTGATTTTTCTGACGTGCTAAACTATGTAATAATCGATGACGACTACTTTGCTCGGCCCTTCACAGCTCACGTCTTTAATATGTTAAGTCAAAATAGCTAAAACTATCTCATCCCAAGTCGGACTTTGGACGTTTTCCCCACACAAGTTCCTGATCTGCTTCTTAGTCACTTCATATTTTCACAAGCATCGAGCATCAACAGAGTACCGAACAGATAGAGCTTAGACCTACAGATCCGCAGATCGTCAGTCCGATATTCAGTGGGTTACGACTTTTAGAAGTACTGGTCTTCTCCAAGATCTCCAGCAGATTCTTCACTTCCCCAAGCCATGTTTTTGGGTCATTTTCTTTCTTTTGAATGCTGATATTCCATCTTTCGATCTATTCATGTAAACCTCATCACCATGCCCATTGTGGAAACATCTCAAGGTTGCAGGGAAGTACTGCTGCCGCAGTAGAAACCCCTGCATAATCACGTTCGTATCAAAGTATCAAAGAAGACTTCCGCTTCTGGAGATAACTATTCGCTTCGTGAAAATGAGTTCCCGGTGAGCGGCGTTAGACGATAATGTTTTAAAGATGTTTCTTTGTTGATTTTGATTGTTAATAGTTTTCGTTGTATTTTAATCCAGAAATAAAAGTTTAACTTCGCAGTTCTTATTTTCGTAATAGTATGTAATATTACAGCATTGCGTTGCGTAAAGAATATAAAGCATATTGTGTAGCCAATCATAATACGCTTAAAATGATAATTAATAAATATGTGACCCTCTACTGTGGGCATTATGATGCCTTATTGATCTTTTTTTTTCGATTGTAATGTATATAATGTATACTGTATCACATTCAGCTACACATTTCATCTTGAAATCATTGTAATACAGTTTACCTACCCACACTTTCAAGAGTAAATTCTGTGTCATTATTAATCAAATACCATTTGGTACCTTAGCTACTGCCATAAAGAATTTTTGTCAGCTATAATGGCCCCAAAATTTGAGTGACCAAGTTCTGCTCTAAAACCGCAACGGTAGAATATCAAGTCTAAATTCTTCTACGCTTAAATTTTGATGAAAAAAGTACAAATGCCTTGTGCAAATACATTAGCAAGAACAATAAGCTTATCTTTAAAGAGGGTAATCTTTTATTATCTGATCGTATAAATTTGATTTAAATGTGGTACATTCTATTAAATTACTTTAGTCATGACTTTTTTTTAAAAAACTTTTTATCAGATTATTTGTATTTGTCATTAAAAGCTTTGTTTAATCGAAGAATAAGTAGAATCTTTGAAACATTATCTAGTTTATGCTTTGCATATTTGATTATGTAAGTTAGATAGTCGGTTAGGGAAAAATAATCTGGGGTGTTTTGCTCAAAAATTAAATTTACAATTTAAAAAATACGTGAGTATTAAGTAAATAATGATTCCAATCGAAAGGCACTTAGAATTAAAATTAAAGTATTTGCATAGCGTTTGAAGACTTTTTTGCAATGAGAATAGTTAAAAGCTATGTTACATCCAGAGCAAGCAATTTAATTTGCCAGTATTTATAATTCATGGTTA